TTGAGGTATCTGTCAAGGAGTGCTCCACCTGTGTCTTTATTAAACCTATTCCTTGTCTGGCCTTCATTACGAAAGTCTCTGATGCCTCGGCGTCTGGAAGCACCTGGCATAGCCCATGGTATGGACCAGAAATTTGCAAGAGATTTTTCCTTGCGCGCCTCATGGCAAAAGATTTCTCAGTTTGTGTCCTTGCCTTATGGGCAACTGCTTTAAAGGCTGCTGCCGTAGTCTGCGTGTTCTGTTTGTATTCCCGCAGTAGGGCTGGAGTAGAGTCAGTGGATTTCAGTGCTTTCTGCCAGATATTTACATCAGTGTCATCTGCATAAAGTTCCGACCAATTATAAGCTGTTTACAACTGTCACAAATTCGGTCATTTTTGGCATTTCTCATTATGACTCATGTTTGGGAATTCTCGAGTTTGAATCCCGGCATTTTGCGGGGAATCAATTTCTGATATTTTTACGCATTCGCCAGCGTATTTAACATCCTTTGGATATTTTCTCCAGGAATGCACGCGTGTTGAGAAATGAGCAGACAAATAAGACTGGTCGGATCTGCACCATTTGGTGGTGAATTGGTGTACGCCAAACTAGATGTTGTGAGTGCCATTTAGGGGTGAGTGAACAGTTCGAAGGTACAGATAGCACATTACGGTCTGAGGGGAATGGTGTTGCTAAGAGTTACCAGATCTGGCCGACGCTCAACACTCAAGGGAAAGGTGAAACGGATATACAATCAAACAGTTACTAAATTTAATACCTGTTGCAAATAAATTTAAAGCTTTCTATAAACTACATTGTTGTTTGATTTTCTTTGATTATTTTATTTAGTATTTTGGTGCATAAGGTTAGTTTCTCTCTCCTACATTTTGTATAAGTATATTCCATTTACTAATCTTTCATTTTCTTGATGGGTGTATTGTTGAGTGATCTCATTACACCTGAATTATTCAACATTTACATGTTTGCTTTTTTTAAAAAAACCAATATCCCTATAAAAATAAAAGAAAACCACCAGCTCAACAATGTGTCTAGCTGATTAAGCATTTTGTTACTTATTGTCTAATATTTGCAAATGTGAAGAATGGATCACACAGTACTTCCCACCATCTTTTCTTTTTTTTATTTGTTGTGTTTTACAATTCTTTTGCTTTTTTTTCCCTCCAAGGAGCATAGGCCCTCAATCATTTGTCCTATCCCTTGCTAGACAATGCAGCTCATCCCATGTCTGCCCAGTCTTTTGAATTTGACTTTTTAATTGAGTTTCCTCTGCGTGTTTTTTGATCTGCCTTCATTCGACCCCCAGTGCAAAGAGATTAAAGTGTTTTTTCCTCACCCCTTGATTCACTGGAATTTGTTTAGTTCTCTACCAAAGCTCCATTTTAGTGATTTTGTCATAACATGTTAATTTCATCTATTGTAATTACAGATTCATCAATTAATGAATAGGGGTGGTTTATGTTTTGTAGTAATTATTTTCCTTTTGTGAGAGGACCCTCATATGTGGGAACACAAAATTTGGGGGTGGGGGAAGGGGGAGGCTAGGTTAAGAAGTATGACAGACCCACTGCCCTTTGGGGGAAAAAAGCAAATCATAAAAGTCATAAAAGATAACCAGTGAGGAGTTTGCTGAATTTTTATGTGTTGGGCTTAAAGGCACAATACTGCAGCCTAGATGTGAACACAGCAAATGTGCTAACAGCCCTTTCAAGAGTGAGCTGTGAAGGAAAAAGAATAAGAAGCAGAAGAAGTAATTATTTAAGGTGTTCATGTTTTAGCTCCATACATAATTTATTTGATATTATAGTTCAGTATTTAAGTCTGATTGTTATTATGCTCCTCATTATAATTGTCAATATTTGCCATGCTGATAAGTGTAAGCATACCGGATTCACTATCTAACATGACTGCCAAAATTATGTACCAAGTCTGTGTTCTTGAGGTTTCTACACCATGTGACCAAGCTATCCAGGTTTTTCTCCTTGCCCACATTCCCCAAAGTTTGCTAGATATCATTAACTTTATTCCTCCCATAATAAGCCCAAAAACCATTAACCTTCCACATCAAATTTCTATTCTAATCTAATTCCACAGGTTGGACCATAGTAGGTACTAGAAAAGCAATGGACCGGGCAAACATTATCAATGCTTCCAAGGAGGCAGGTTGAGAAAATGTTTTAGGAGACGACATTAAATCGGCAACATTTAAAAGACCAAGACTTCGGGTCAAAAGAGTTGTCACCAAACATGAACAATATACAGGTAGCCAGAGAAAAATAGTAAACCAACACAGAACTGGTGTTTTCAGTTGCCACACGCTGAGGGATATACTGAAGATGGAATCCGAGCACTTATGAACTGTCTGATGTGCAATGAGGAAAATCTGTTGATTAACTAACTAACTAATATTAACTATCTAATTTCCATAATCTGTTTCTGATTGTCATTGTTTCTCGGAGGACTGCCTCATTAGTTGTCAGTCAAAAATGTTCTTAATGAAAACTGTAAATCAACTATTTAGCAAAGTAATAAACTCAACACCTTAAAGGCATACACATGGAATGACAATAGCATGTGGGATCCATCAAGCACAGGATCGCAAACTCACAACACTTAATGGCAAAAGTGGAAGTTGATGATGATGAATTAATTCAACTGTGTTCAAACTTGTACAAAAACATAAAAAATACTGCATGAAATATAACAAGAAAACAATTTAGTTGAAAATAGTTTATTCAAATTTCATATATTTTAATAGAAAAAAAAACTGAGATAAGTTGTAAAAAAAAAGTACGTAGAAATGAACTATTATATTAATAAGGCCATTATGAGTAAAGGCGCAGATGAAATATTTTAACTGTGACTAGTGTCATGTCTAGGATCTTGTGGACTCCTCTTGTAGGTTCCTCTATCGAAGTGAGAATATCCTACCATGGAATTTGCCTTAAACGTCAATGTGTTAGATTTCAGCATGTACATGTGTATAGTATGTTTTCTGTAGACATTCTAATCAAGTAAATGTTATGTTTTATAATTTTAGACACCTGCCTAGACAGAGACTTGTTTCACCTACTTTACAATTTCCAGATGCGGAGGAATGTTAGACAGGCATAACATCTGCAAGAGACCTCTAATTTCTACTGGCTTTTGTTTGAGACTATATAACCATTCTCTCTGTATAGAATTCAAAGTCTCATTAAAAGGATTGGAAAGATGGAAAAGGGGGGGGGGGGGGGGGGGGGGGGGCAAAGAATAGACCTCCTACCCCAACAAACTTGTCATAAAATATGACTAATTAGGTGTTTGCTGAAATTGGATGTTTTGGGCCAAAAGGTGCAGATATTGCAACCTAGCTGTAAATCACAACACAGTGTCTACCCCCATCTTTCAATTCGAACACAAGAAAAAGGAGAAGAAAAAGCAAGAAGAAGAAGCGGAAAGAAGAAAAAGAAGAAGCAGAAGAAGAAGAGGAAGAAGAAGAGAATTATCTGAAACAGAACTGAACCTGCACTTTCGTGTGTATGTGACTTAGATGTCCAAACTCTGCTCTTATCCCCAAGCTTCATGTATACATCCTGTTTTATTCTCTGTGCTGATTGTTTATAAAGGAAATTTGCCAATTTCTCACTGCACTTTATTTATCCACTAAGTTAGCATGCTTACATTTTGGCAATATGACTATGTCTAAGTGCTAAATATTTGTTTGCAGAAAATTACGTTTTGAGATTTAAGATTATGAAAACTTGTTTAGTTGCATGAAAAATATTTCTTTGTTGTGACCTATTTGGATAGAATGATCGTATCCTCCCATTTTCACAGGGACAGTATCATTCTATTTAGGTAGGCCCAGACCGTCACGTCACTACTAAAGAACTTAAGAAAAAAGTAAATTGTCCCAACTAGCAGTTTTTGAGTATCAACGCAACAGTCTGGGCCTTAAAAAAATGTCCCGGCAAAAATGAGACAATAAGGTCACCCAATATTTGGAGTAGGAATTCACAATTGCCTTTGGCATATTGTATAGTGACAAAAAACAGTACTGAAACGCACTATTAATGCAGCCAAAATTGCACTTGGATGACTTGGTATAGTGCCAGCAAAATTTTCCCCACCTATGCGCTATAAAATGTTAACAGTCAGCATCTGTGGATTAGGGGTTGTGAATGCAGTTTCACAATCTTGACACACAGTGGTTTGAAGTCACCTGATAGCGATTTCCTAGCAGACTGCTCTCCGCTGATACTGAGAATGGTATGGGCCTCATACCATTCAAGGTGCAATGATAAATTATGAAATATAAAGATGCTTAGTAAAACCACATAGCCAATAAATGAATTTTTTAGGTTTGTTTGTGAAGCAACTAACCTTTTAACTTTAAACAGCGACAACCATGTGTGGGTTGCAGGGCCCAGTGGGGTGGGGGTGGGGGGCAGATCCACTGTCTCTTAACAAACATCTTTTAGAAAGCGACTAATTAGGAGTTTGCTGAAATCTGATAGATTGGGTCAAAAGGTGCGTATATTCCAGCCTAGCAGAAAAAAACAGACAAGTTTAGATCCCGTTTCACGCCTTAGGCGCATCTGGTATTTGGGAAGAGCGTCCCATATTTTTTACAGATAATCGGCACTGGATGGGTAATGTGGTCAGCATTACGCCGGCCGTCTTTTCTTCCCCAGGACAGCCATCAAGGTACCCATTTTAGGCTGGGTCAGTCTGCGACGCCCCATACCATGATAAAAATCCATGCAGCCAGCAGTGGGTTTTAATCGCGGTACGTTGGATTTACGGGTCAGACTCGCAACACCCAAGCCACGGATGCCACTAGCCTAGCAGTACACAACAATATAAGGCTTTTAATAGCAAACACTGAAGAAGAAGTAGAAGCAAGAGGAAGATGAAGAAAAAGAAGAGACATTAACATGGCCAAGATTAAGTTAGACATTTCACTGGCAGCCCTTAGACAACAGTGAGTTGTGCTGGATATTATTTTTACTTGATGATTTAATATCCATTACTTTGTTCTTTTTCTCCATCTCTGTCATCTAAAATATCATCTATCTTCATCTCAAAGAAATCATTGCACACAAAATCCATTGTTCGCCTAGTGGGTAGATTACTTCTGTCTTTATTACTAGCACTGTTTATTCCTTGATGAGCATGAACAAGGAAGGATTTGGTGGAGATATCAGGAAATCTAATCACATCTTCAGAGGTATCTCGAGATAAAATCAATGGTGTCCCAACACAGCTTCTGCTATCGGCTGACATCTCTGAACGACAGATGCCGTTTGACTGAGATATTCTTGGGAGTCCACCAGATGCAGATGAAGAGTAAACAGAGCTTTGAATGAAGGGAAATGGAGAACAAGCTAACGAAGGAGAGACTGGAACAAATTCTGCTGCCCTTTGTGGATCCTGCTGGGGATTATCTTTGGTGTTATGAATATTGCTGAAAATATTTCTGTTATGATTGTTGGATATGTTCATGTCGGCATTGTTTGAAATGTCTATAAAATTTTGAAGCTCCCGGTCTATCTCTGCTAGCTCTGGAAATCTCTCATCTAAATAATCTGCCTCATTTAAATTCACATCTTTGATGACTTTCCAGGTCTCTGCTTTTATAGTTTCTGCACTCTCTTCTTCTGCAACAGTCAAAAAATGTGTAAAATTACTATTATTTTAAAAATAACTGTACTATTCAACTGTTTGCCCCCATTTTATCGGGTGCTAGATTTCATACAGTCTAGGGGTGTTATGACATGCCTTCGTTCACCATGTATATGCAGTGTCTTGGCTTTGTTCCACCGGGTTGACACACTGTCTCCGACACAAAGGTGCACAGCTTTCGTTTCTCCCAGATGAAAGTGAGCAACTTTCTTTTCTGTGAACAACTGTTCAAGTGTTAGGGTTATGGTCAGGATTAGAGTTAAGGTCAGGATTAGGGTTAGGGTCAGGATTAGGGTTTCAGGATTAGGGTTAGGGTTAGATGCAGGAATACTAACAGGTCAAGATAACCATAAACAAACATTGATGCGAAAATCCAAAGGTGCTGGACTGGATTTCATCCGTGATAGTGAAAAGAACACAGAAAAGAACAGAATGGAAGAACAGACTATGAGCCTTATATGATGTATACTGTTGAAAAAAAAAGAAACGCATAGTTATCCGATGGCACATTTTTTTCAAGTTTGTAAATAAAATATTGTACCCATGTATGTGAGAAAAATACTTAAATTTTGTTTACTGTGTCGAGCAGACATTTGGGCATGAATTGTGTGGGTTCTTGTAATCATTACACCACAGTAGTCAACTGTTTTCGACCATATTTGTGAGCATAGCTAATGAAGCAGGCAAGATATAGCAACATGATTTGGGGGTGAACACTATTCACTGCCTACGCAACTGAAACCCTATAAAAGGATATCGCTACACAAAAACATTCAGTTTATTTTCAAGCATTCATGAATGGTGCCTCTATCAATAAATTTAAGGAATATTGCTACTAACCGAATGCAGGCAGGAGAAAGTCAAAGTCAGGTTGCCAGGCATCTAAACGTGCATCAGAATACCATTAGTTAACTTTGGCACCAGTTCCAATCCACTGGTTCAGTTGAAAACAGACATCGCAGTGGATGACCCAGAGTGACAACAGCAGCAGAGAATCGCTTTATTCAGTTTTGTCACCTCAGAGACAGGTTTACAACAGCCTCCTCAACTGCACAAGCATTGCCTCCAGAACGTCATGTGTCTGATCAAACTGTTCAGAACAGACTGCATGACGTTGGACTCTAGGCACGATGACCACACCGAGGACCTTTCCTTACGCATCGTCACCACCAAAATCAATTTCTTTGGGCCAACCAACATCGTCCCTGGGCATGTGACAATCAGTGGAGACGTGTCTGGTTTAGTGATGAATCTTTCTTTTTGTTGCAGCGACATGAAAGATGGCATAGGGTCTACCATAGAAAAAATGAAGGTTTAGCCCAAAAATTTGATGCCAGTCACTGATCTAAGCAAGAGAAGGCCACACACCATACTAACAGGAAAGGCCTACGTCTAAAAATTACCTTGACCAGATGCCCAAAAAAAGGTGTCAATTGATTAGTGGAACCTTGAGGTACTCCTGTGTGAAATTTGAGTAATTTCACTTATTGCATTACAAAGATTCAGAATGTCAAAAGTGAGTAAAGAATGTCTTTATTTGTTCATGGCATTCTATAAAAAAAAATAATCCACATGATTAAAAAAAAATTCCCAGATCCACCACTCACTCATCACTGAAACTAGGTCACCAGGCATGGATCCTCTGTTACACCAGTCTATTCACTTCCTTCCAGAGAACTTTCACCTTGTTGGCACTATCATATCGTGTGGTGATGACGAGAGTTCTCTAGCCACATGATTCCTCTTCATCTTCTTCTTTTCTTCCTCCAGTTAGCTTGTCAAAGTTTTGGAGGCGGAAGTTAAATTTGAAGAACTTCTGTATGCTCTTTCCAATGTGTTGTATAAGTTGATCTTTATTTTTAAAGGCTTTTACTTCATTATTTTTCTCTAGTGTGGTTCTATGTGATAGCTGGTATCAGGGCATTCTCATTAGGTGGTCAAACCGTCTCAATCTTTTATTATAAATGATTGAGAACTCTAAATAGACACATAACTGAATGAGATGACCAGACTCATCCTACCTTCCCATAACTTGTCACTGTCTTCCCTGAGACCTTGCAGCCTTGAACTCATTGGGAAGTGGGCCTCTGATAGCAGTTGTTCTAACTGTTCATTTGTCAGTTTTGGTGCATTCTCCAGCAATGACTGCCGAGATGAAGCGATCGATCTGCAACAATCAGTAAATCAAATTACTAGAACAAGTTATGACCTTTTTATCTTCTTCTGTGTTTATCCTTAATAGGGTGGTTGGCATGTTGCGTTGTTTATTTCCAGGTAGGCTGTGATATCTGCACTTTTTGGTCTGACACACAGGATTTCAGCAAACCCCTCTCCATGTGGATTCTAAGGCCCCATTGTGGGGAAAACAAGAATAGACCCACTGACTCCCCAACAAGCATGTCGTAACAGTTGACTAATTGGGGTACAAGAAATATTAGCGAAAAACTTTGCCACTGTGAGATTATGATGGCTCTGACAAAATGGTACAATTACAAAAACACCTTTCTAACATCATCGACAAGGAATAACATTCATTAAAAATTTACTTTGAAAACTACAGAGTTGGTGAGTCACCATGGCGTAGTGACTAGATGCTTGCATGTGGATCGGAAGGCCGTGGGTTTGCTCCCTGGCGCAGCCAGACTTTTTTCAAAAATGACCTTGACTCCCAGTTCGATCTAGCCTTGAGTGGGTAGCAGGTGCAGTCCTGGGAAGTAAAGGCTGCCGGCGTGATGCCAACGCCATCACCCATCTTTTGCCGATTGGTCTTTAAAAATATAGGTCTAGCCCTATATGCCCTAAACGCCCAAAGGCATGGTAAATAAAAACTTTACTTTTTTACTCACTTACTTACTACAGAGTTGTATCCCTTACAGAAACATAGAGAAATGAATGGACTAACCACTTTAACTATACTTATTGCAAAAGTCGTGATTTTAACATGGCAGCAAGTGTTAAATTTTACCATCGCTAGGGGTGAGATTATGGTAGCCGGGTGTAAATGGTAGTTGGTGGGTTAACTCAACTCAACTACTACTCTGGTAATTACTAGATTCAAATATAATTTAAAAAATATACCCCCCCCCCCCCCCCCCCCCCCAAAGTCACATTTATTTATCATGCTTTGAGACACATTGGGTACGCAGTGTCTGTCCAAAATTTTTTTTTTATAGATCAACCAGAACCGGATGAGTGATGTAGTCAAACTGATACCGGCCATTTTTACTTCCCCTGACATTTTAAAATTTTATGTTAAGGTTCAGGTAATCCTAGACTCTTCAGTAACACAAACATACCTGACACTAAGTTCTGAAGACTCTGGATCCTGAGACATTGCCAAGTTGCGGGCACACTGGTCCAATAAGTTTTCCAGTTGCTCATCGGTCAAATGGCACTCTTCTGCAGATTCCTCCTATGAGTTGCACAGAAGAGATAAGCGACATTTTCATTTTTTCAATTTACAGATGGACTGCAATAACTGTGTCTTTTCGGTCAAACACATCAAACTTCAGCAAGGTCTTAATTATTACACTTTTAAAACATGCTTGTTAAGAGGCAGTGAGTCTATTATATAACCAACCCCCCCCTCCCCACACACACACACACACACACTCCTGCACACAAAATAAGGTCTGGAATCCACACAAGGATTGACAGATGTGAATACTGGATAATTAGCAAACAGGCACACAAATAAACCTCTTAACTCTTTCAGGCCCATGAACTTTGACAGACTTGGCCCACAATAATTTCCCTTAACAAAAATGACAGAGGGGTGGGTGTACAAGAAAGGCTGTAGAGATTGTAATTTACTTCTAATCCCTATAAAAGTATATATTTTTTAAAAGTGAAATAATGTACATTTTCTTCTTCTTCTTCGCATTCACCAGCTGTACACTGTGGCGGAAAGTTCTGGTTGCTCGTCCACTACTGAACTGCAGTCCTGCTCCAGAACCTGAGTGTTGCGTGTGCATCAGTTTTACAGATCTCATTCTCTTGAATACAGACTGTTGGTTCCTTGCCTTTCCGGCAGATGCACTCCGACTTCAAAGAAAGCTCCCCAATTAGTCGACTCTTACAACATGCTTTTGGGGAGGCAGTGGGTCTATTCTTGTTTTCCCCACAATGGGGCCCCGGAACCCACATGGGGGAATGTACATTTTGAATCTGATGATAAGTGTTTGTTTGATTTTGTTATAGTTAGTGGAAAAGAAGAATTCAGCAGGTGTTAATTTCACAAGGACAACATTTCACACAAAAAATTCTTCACTTACCATGGTTTTGCAGCCACAAGAGTAGTAAATATCCAAATTTGAGAACAAAACTTCAAAGTTTGTTCAATTTCCTAACATATTCTAAAGTTATGATAACTTTCTGGGTTAGTTTATCACTCAGAGCTCTTATTTCTCACAGAGTGCTAAGCAAAATTTCAGAGGAAAAATGAGCCATTACACACACAATATTTACTATTCACAGTTGTACAGTTATTTACAGACTAGCTGCGATGATTTCAATGTAGCTTAGCCCTAGTATAGTACTGTCTCTTTGTTTGAGAGCACTTTCCTTCTCTTACACCTTAAATACGGTAGTATAGAACATTGTCTGTGTAATAAACTCATCAGAATCGCTAGATTCCGAACAGCTGATCGCTCAGCTTCACTGGTTAAAAATTCACCGCCCGAATCACTTTCCGAAAAATCTAAATTTTTTATTATCATTATCACAATTAAAAACATCTGACTGAAACAATTTCAGAGCTTCGGCCGCAGAAAGACGCATTCTGCGACCTGTACTTGTGGTTAGAACATTGGTATTCATGGCACTTAGAAACGAACTTAGAAAATGAACTGTTAAAAAAAATTCTCTGTTTTTTTCTCTCAAATTATCCACGTGTGGTTTAGTCCAGGAAATGAAACTAAAAGGATTTTGGCAAATTGACTTTCCCTGAATAGTTTAATCGTACCTCCAAACATTAGAAACTAGTACGAATGCGCGTGCGAAGCAAAATGTAAGGGACACACGATTGACGATGACACTGTTGTTTGGGCAGAACAGAACTTCTCAAACTACGCTCACACCGTTGTTTGGGCCTTAAAGAGGTAAACCATATACAGGGTCACCTTCAGCTTTGTAAGTGTAGATACAATTATTCTTTAGAAATTGATTTAGAGGTTTCCCTTTGAATTCTTTCCCCTTCCCTCCCCCTCAAGAGAAACTCAAAATAGTACCCATTTTTATACCAGTAGTGCACCATGCTCGACAGAGTCGAAGGATAATTATAATGAAAAATAATGGTTTGCTAAGGAGTAAGAGAACGTCATCAAAGTGTGGAAACGTTTACATAGGCATTGTAGAAGTGTAGCTAGAATAAATCAGGGAACATCTCAATCATTAACAGAAACATGGATGGCTCTTATCACCACAGCTGTTTATCACCTGCATCAACAATATATGCAAGGATGGCAAGCTCAGGAAAAAAAAATATTAGTAAGATCAAAGAATTACTCTTTGCTGATGATAACGGATTCAACCAATGAAGTTGCAACAGTATCTAACATCTATGACTGAAGAATGAAAACATATGAGAATCAATGCTGAAAAGACAATAAGTAATGTCAACAATAAGAAAGAAGCAGAAACTAAATATAGCAGTAAAGTGCGAAGGAATTAAAGTAGTATCTGAGATTAAATACTTGGGAACATTCATTGAAGATGGAAAACTGAATTAAGAAATCAACATCCGATGCAGTAAAGCAAGTTGTAGGACAGCTAGCTCCCCTCTTGCAGAATAAGACAATCCTGATCAGCACAAAGAAACATCTCATACAGAGCATATTCATGACTTATCTATGCTACCAATGCCAGACATGGTCACTCACAACAAACTATATATAAGAGAAAATTTAGTAACAACAGAATTTAGACGTCTGAGGAGGGTTGCATGAGTGACCAGAAGAGATCAAATAAGAAATTAGGTCATCAGAGAAAAAGTGGATGGAGAACTAATTCTAAATTACATACACAGACAGCAAATCAAATGGTTTACCCACTTAGAGAGAATGCCTTCTGATGCTACACCATACAAGACTTACAGCAAAAGAGGAGAAGGAAGCAGAACACAAGGAAGACCAAAAACAAGATGGAAAGATAACATCAGAGAAACTCTACAACAGAATGATGTGTCTTCGGTTGAGGCGGCCAGAAGAGCAAGCAGCAGAACCTTACAATTCCCTCAACACCTGAAGCAGTAAACAAGCAAGTGAAGAAGAAGAAGAAGTGCATCCGACATATGATGCTCGACTAATATTTGTATAGACCTACTGGACTTCGTGTGTAATATGGCCTTTACTTCCCAGGGCACAAATGGTACCCATTTCAGGCTGGATATAAGTTAATAATGGGGAGTCACTGTAGTGTAGTGGCTAAAAGCTCACCTGCAGATCTGCAAGTTGTGGGTTTGGGTCCTCACAGCACAGGGCATTTTTCTTTTAATGACCTTGGCTTCCAGGTCAACCAGCCTTGAGTGGGTACCATGTGGAGTCCTGGGAAGTTCAGACAGCCAGCGTGATGCTGACCACATCATAAATTAAGTGCCGATTGGTCTATACAAAATAGATATAGCCCTGTATGCCCAACACACCTGAAGGCGTGGAAAGGGTCCTTTACTTACTTAATTATTTTTTAAGTTCAGATGCCAACACTCTTGTGACTTCGTCTCAATTAAAATTTCAGTCCAAAAGGGCAAGACTAAAATACTCAATTACACATCCAATAAAGTTCTTCTTCTTCTTCGCATTCCCCAGCTCTAAACTTTGGTAGAGTCCTGATTGTTGGTCCACTTGTGGACTTTGCTGCTCCCGTTCCATGACTGAGTTCTGCATGCAGATTAATTTTAAAGATCTGGCTTATTTCTGTGCAGACTTTTGATTCCTGCCTCTTAGGCATTTCAAAAGAAATGTCGATCCTATCTATACTGGCCAGAATTCTGGCTGGGAACCTGTTTCTAGAATGAATGCAGAGAGCTGTAAATAAGTCTTGATAATAGGTCATGATCAGTATAAGCCAAGGTACTGATGTACTATCATGTGTGATTCAGGACCTTTGTATCTCCCCCCTCCCCTTAAAGTTACAACAGGGACATTTTAACGACAAAACCAAGTACTGCCATGGTTTTTACCTGCTGTCCAAGGTGGGTAAGGATTAGTTTATAATTTTAAAAGGTATGAAATATTTTATAATCTCTGCGTCAGCAATTTAACTTATGACTTGGTTTAGAATTCTCTGTACCTCGGTTCGTGCTTTGAATTTAGCCAGCTCCTGTTCAATTGCTTGAAGTTTGGCTTTTAATTCTCGTTCTTCTTTTGTCTCCAGCAGTACTCTCTCTCCAAACCTCTCCGTTGGATCAGAACAAGCAGCTGGCACTTGCATTCCCACTCGACTAAACAATGGCAGCTGTGTGACATACATGGTAATAAAGTGACACACGTGAGACTTAACATAAACTCATGCAATGATTCAAGCTGTGTATATTCTGTGATGACATAAACAATAGCGGCTGAGTGATATACATGATGACATAGTAAGACATGTGAGACTAAATATAAACTCATGCAATGATTCAAGCTGTGTATATTCTGTGATGACATAAACAATAGCGGCTGTGTGACATACATGATGACATAGTGAGACATATGAGATTGTACATGAAAGCTCATGCAGTGATTTAGGCTGCAAATATTCTGTGATGACATAAACAGCGTACATGATGGCGTAGTGACTAGGTTAGTTGCGTATCCTTTACAGGACGTTGCAGAACTAACTTAAACAGCCCCTGGCTGTTGTGTGGTTTTTCTAGGCAAATTTACGTCCAGTAGTTCGCCATTGCTTTCTGGACTGTTTGCTGAGATCGGCACAATGCAGCCAAACCATTTCACTTGTTGTCTTCTAATCAAATCCGGAGCTGCTGCGGCTCCCATTCTTCTTTTTATTATTTATTATTTTCATTTATTATAATTATTATAATATTCAGGAACTAATATATTTTAAGAGCTTTTCCCTAGATTTTTTATAAAATGGGACAATAGGCACTCCTACAAAAATGGGAGTGTCCTGGTGTAAGTGGCACGTATGGTCGCCTAGTAAAACAAAAGAAAGTCCCCCAATTCTACACACCGTTACACACTAGCTCGCTTCTGATTGGTCGACCTTCAGCCTACCTCACTACTGAATGGTCGGCCTCGAGCCATCCAACTTTCACACAAGGTGACGGGGCCGTTCCGCAATGCCGCTGATACTGTGTCTTGTATATTTATGCACGCCAGCACTTTTAACACCACAAAAACTGGGTCTAACACACAATCTCCCTAGAGAGTGATGAAACCTGTGTTACAGGCATTCTCTTTCTCAGAAAAAAAAAACGTAAATGCAACACAACAACAGACCGCCACACCCATAACCTCAACCACGGGAGACTGGTCCAGCAACCTTATCAATGGAACTGACCTACTTTCCGTGGGGAGACCATTGTTTCAATAACCAATCGCCCTAATGGTGACACATGTGAGATTGTAAATGCAGTGATTCAAGCTGTGAGTATTCTGTGATAACATGTAAAATGAACCATTAATATTTAATGTTGAATGTTGAATTAGGAATCAACATCACACTCTGGACACTCTCATAAATGCTCTGTCCGCATCTTCAGCAGCAAGCGAAGAGTTCTAGTTCCAACGGCACCAGTAACCATCTGATTGTATATCTGTCTCAATCTTCCCCTGACTGTTAAGCATCAGCCAGATTCCCTGGTCTCCTTGCAGCACCATTCTGCTCTGACTGTAATGATCTATCTGCGCCTCCGCACTGTTTACTCATTCCCAAAGGACCCTCACTATATCTAGCTTGTCATATATCAATTCACCACCAAGAGGTGCAGAACCGGCCAGTCTGTCTGCCTGCTCATCTGCCAGACTTTAACGGACAGTGACCAGCTCACTTCTTATTCACCATACTGGACCAGGAGTTCTTGATATTTGTCACATTAACCCATATAATCCAGTTTACTAGTTTAAAACTTATTTGTTCCTATTTACTAGTAAAACAAAAAATTTATTTTTTTTAAGCAACTGAAAAAAAAATTCAAACCAGTAAAACTGAAATAATACATAATGATTATTTTTGGCTGAAAATGACACCAAAGATGAAGTGCATTGTGCTGAAATTCTCCTTTTCTGAACCATAGGAGCCAGCTAGGAAACTCATGGAGATATACGTGTGTGATGAAAGCGAACCTGTACCAGAATTAAACTAAATACATACACTCAAACACATCCGCTCACCCAAACCTACACACTCTCTCATACATTCACCTGCACACCCACATAAACCCACTCCCTCACCCAAACTTACTAACTCATACACCCACCCACTCACTAACTCACCCAAACAAACTCCCTCACTCACCCATCCACCTAAACCCACTCACTCATCACTCAATCATCCACCTATTTACTAATTTTGTCAATCACCCACACTCCCCCCCCCCCCCAATCCCACTCACTCAGTAACCCACTCACTCAAACATTAAGCACTCACTTACTCACTCAACCAAACTCACCCACCCACTCACTCACTAAATTAAATCACCCACTCACCAAAACTTATTCACTCACTCATGCACCCACCTCTTCACCCAAAACCACTGATTCACTCACCCATTCACCCAAACCCACTCAATCACTCATCACCGACACACTAACTTATTCACTCGCTTCCTCAACCCTGCACCTACCCAAACCAATTCACTCACCCAAACCCCCTCAGTCACTCCCTCACTCACCCATACAATCACTCACTAACTTATTGATTGACCAACTCACTTACTAATTAACCTGCACACTCACCAACTCACCCAGCCACGCAATCACTCACACAGCACACTCTCATGAAGAGTTTTTTTCTTTTAAAGTTCCTTGCATGTCCTTTACAGGAAGTTGCAGAACCACCCCCAGCTTCTGTTGGCTGTTTGGTTTTACTAGACAATTGTACTCAATAGTAGCTTGCCATTGAAGAGACAGATGAAGAAGTGAGCCAACAATATCCTTAATTTCTTCATAATTGGAGATGTAGTCATTAATAATCCTGTAAATGTAAAGGTGGATATGTACATCAAAAAGCACTATATAATTTCTTCTGCCTTTGATTTTCCATAGTGTTGGGAGAGTGTAATATTGTGTGAAGGGACAGAGTGGTACGATAGTACTTTCAGGAAGTTCAAGGGAAACAGTGTCAACATTGGCCCAAGTAGTGAGGGGGAGAGAATGTTGACCAGTGAGAAGTGTAGTAGTGTCACCAGAAAGTAGACGCAGGGGTTCACTGTGTGGGGGCTGACAAGCATGGCTAACGATACGCACCAAGAAAATATGCATTACGTGACAGGGTGATTCTCATGTAACATCAGCCAGCCACATAAGCGTTATCCTCGACATAAGCGTGAGTCTCGAGAACGTCCACATAAGCATGATTCCCGATAACGCCCACACGAGCGTGCTTCTCGTGTAACATTAGCCGCCCACATGGGTTCGGCAGGGATATATTGGGGCTGCGTAGGCAGTCCGAGGCAGTGAGTGTAGCCAGAGAGCTAAAGCACTGTGGAAGTGCGGATGTAGTACACACCCAGCACAAGAGTGTGGTATGTCAGAGAGAGAGAGACAAAGTCAGAGGACGAAGGCAGACAGAGTACCGTGCAACTATCAGACATCAAGGTCTGAGTAAGGGTTGTGGTACGGGATGAAAGCAGACATAGTACCGTGCAACTATCAGGCATCAAGGTCTGAGTAAGGGTTGTGATTGCAGTACTGGTCAAAGTTACAGTCCCACTGGCGAAGTAAGTCCAAGGGGACTGGATGCTCCAATAGTGACTGTTCTGGGTGACGGCGCAAGGAGATGTAGGGTCACCACGGAAACAGAACAGTAGGGATGCCGATGAGAGCTGTGTGCTAGTGGGGACTTGTGTTTGAAGTCCTGTCGGTCATTGGAGTCCTTCGACAGGCTGACGTGCTGTGTGCTTTAGAGAACTGGCAAGTGAAGTCTGTCTCCAGTCAGCCGTGGTTGTATGCTGAAGTAATATCAAGGTCCAGTGGATAGACGAGTTTGTCCTGTTCGGCTGTACAGTGACCCCAGAGTGTGGGAAGCTGTAGACATTTGGAGCTGTAGTGGTCAGGGAGAGGACGCTACAAGTTGAGAGAGAGTAGGGACTATATAGACTAGGTGTGAATGCCAATTAGGATCAATGTCTACATCTCTGAATAAGCTGTTTTGTTGATGTAAGGGCTTGTGTATACCCTCTTGTGTTTTGTAGAATAAATCCAGTGTGTACTGTCATGGAGTCCTGCTTGGAGAGTGAGGAAGCAAAAGTTATATCTATAGACACTTGGATGTGTGCTGATTAGTGTGTAATTCAGATAGCACACAACACAAAGGTCTAGCCCCACGGAGCTTAAGCCCACAAACAACTAATGTCAACCTCATGCTGGGTTGGATTTCACTGCAGCCCCTATTTTTTGTCGGCGTCTGTGAAGGTGCAAACGTGATTCGTAACTCCGAGGTGCCGGGTTTGATCCCAGCTGCGGATGATTTGGCAGCAGACCGTCTAGCATTGGTTTTGACAGTGGTATGGAGAGTCAACCATAAGAGGCAATGGCAAACTACTGAACATAAATTCTGCCTTAAAAATCCACAACAGCCAAAACATGCTAGGGTTGGTTCTGCAACATCCTGTAAAGGATACAGAACTGCATTTTTTTAAAACCATATATGCAGAAAAGTCTTACAATAACCTTCCTTAGCTGCTTCTTATAACATGCTTGGTAGATTACAGCCTAAATATTAAACCATAAAAAAATGTTCTCGTGATTGTTTGAACAGTGGTATGAGAGTCACACCACTAAAAAGACTGGGGAGCCTCATGATGTAACATTCCCACACACAGCAGTGGGTACAATGAAGCCAACCTTCATTGGGGAGACGGCACACACACATTTTGTAATTAATTTAACAATATCTAAGGGTTTTATAACAGTGGCTCTCAACCTTCCTAATGCCACGACCTTTAATACAGTTTCCTCATGTTGTGACGACCCCTAAACAATTATTATCCTTCATAACGTCCAAAAATATGTGTTTTTCAATGGTCTTAGACGACCCCTGTGAAAGGGTCATTCGACTCAGAAAAAGGTTCGCAACCCACAGGCTGAGAACCGCTGTTTTAGAAGAAACCTTTAGCCTGGAATTCTAATGAAGTTGGGTTCTATTCTACACTTCTGCTTTCAACCTTGCACATTTAGGTATCACACTTTGAAGTTTAGTGACAATGAGCATGTAAAGCATTTTTAAACAACATACTTGAGGCACTGTCCGGGCAGACAGCACTGAGATATAATCTTCATTTGGCATCAGTGTTTTCAGCTGATCATCGATGTTACTGAGGCTTTTCATCTCATCTGCATCAGGACAGTAACCTTCCCCAGGCTGGAGGGTAGCTCTTAATTGACTCTAGACAACAACAACAACAAATGAAAATAGTGTTATATTTTAATTCTTTTGTCTCAAACTTCTTCTTCTTTGATCACCCTTAATACTTTTCCCCAGAGAAGCCGCAAAAGTGATACTTCTGGTTGGGGTAAATTCCCCATAAACATTATTTTTCTAACGTGTTTATACAGACCTGTTTATGAGATGCATAGTTACCGCTGATGGCTGTTTTCACTTCTGTGCAAACGTTTTAGAGGTCATGACTTGAAACTTCTTTTCTTCTTCTCTTCCACCTTGTGCCTCAGTGAAGTGTCAGGGGGAGATGTAACATTCGTTGATTAGCTCTGTTAAGAGCACTATTTAGATTGATGTTTATTAGGACATTAATACATTAACAAAGAAAACAGCATTCTTCTTGTTCTTCTGCGTTCATTTAAAGATGTAATTGTGTTGTGTCCGTTTACAGCATGGCTGCAATATTTGCACCTTTCTGCCAACACATCCGACTTCTGCGGACATTTGTTGACTGGGTTTGCCTTCCCGGAATAGCATTCAGGAGGTATTCCTTTAAGTAAAACAGTTTTTTTTTCATTTTTAAATTCAAGTTAACGTCAAATTTGTCTGTAAGCCTCCTTGATTGAGATCACAGGGTCACAATATGAGTCACTTGACATGTTTGTTTTCTAGAAAATGTATTCCATTTAATGCTTCAGCATGTTTATGTTTTCTGATTACTTCTTTCATGTATCTTTATATATATATATATATATATATATATATATATATATATATATATATATATATATATATATATATATATATATTTATATATATATACTTTCAGTAAGTTTATTATTAGCAACCTGTGTAAAAAAGTTTTTAACTGATTTTTTTCCTGAAATTTCAACAAGGTCATGACCCATTGTTTAAGTGTCCCAGGGCAAGAGAGTTGGAGCTGACATGTTGTGTTGTGGTTTACAGCTCGGCAGAAATATCTGTACTTTCTGGCCCAACATATCTGATTTCAGCAAACTCCCAATTAGTGCCCCTTTTACAACAAGCTTGTTTGAGGGACAATGGGTCCCAGAGCTCAAACAGGGGATAATCTGAAACAAACATGTGTGTCTGATTGGTTCTTTCCTGTGATTCTCAATAATAAGATTATATGTCCTCATACTTTTTACACTTGGTTAAGAAATCTGGCGTTTGTGTATACAAGGGCATGTAAGAAGGGAAAAATGAAACATTGTAACTTACCATCCATTCCATAAGAGGCAACTAAGCAGTTACGGCAGACTGGCTATGTCATCCCATAAAAAACTTTAGCTGCAATATCTAATAATTAGTGAATAAATCTACAAAGAGCTTGGTATCAGATGTTTGATGGCTTATGCAGATGATTTGCTGAAGAGCCAAAGGAAGAAGGATAAAGAAGGAAGAAGAGAAGAAGAAGGAGGAGAAGCAGCAGCAGCAGGTACCTCTGCCATCGGCACTGCAGCAGCAGCAGAAGAAGAAGTAGGCAAAGAATAAGAAAAGGAAGAAAGAGCAAGTACATCTTGAGGAAACAACAACAACAAAATGATTTCACAGTGTAAGATAATAATGTCATTTACCCTAGTAATATCAGGAGCACCATCTTCAGGTCCCGGTAGGTCATCCAGTCCTTCGAGCAGCTCTGCTAACCGCTTCTTCTCATCATCAGTACATCTTGAGGAAACAACAACAACAAAATGATTTCACAGTGTAAGATAATAATGTCATTTACCCTAGTAATATCAGGAGCACCATCTTCAGGTCCCGGTAGGTCATCCAGTCCTTCGAGCAGCTCTGCTAACAGCAGCAGCAGGTACCTCCAGCAGCAGCAGAAGAAGAAGTAGGCAAAGAATAAGAAAAGGAAGAAAGAGCAAGTACATCTTGAGGAAACAACAACAAAATGATTTCACAGTGTAAGATAATAATGGCATTTACCCTAGTAATATCAGGAGCACCATCTTCAGGTCCCGGCAGGTCATCCAGTCCTTCCAGCAGCTCTGCTAACCGCTTCTTCTCATCATCGGTCATCGGAATAGACTGGTCTGTTTGGCTAGCTAACTGAAAGAGGAAATAAAAACAGTCATGGTCAGATCAAAATAATCATGGACAGCTTAGACATTTTGGGATCAGTTTGTGTTTAAATATCAAACTTGTCATCATCTTCTTATGCTGTTTATGCCACACTGGGCTGTCTTGCAGTCAATTCCTCTATTCCATTCTATCTTGTGCATTTATTTCCATATTGTATATAAGTCTGGAACCTCTGGCCTCTCAGTAATACAGAAGGGGTGTGATCAGCTATTTTGCAATTGTAAAGCTAACTGAGGAGGAGATCGGAGCACTTATGGAGTTCTGCAAAGCACTGTGAAGTTAGTCCTCACCAATCATTTGTGGCCTTTCTCGTCAAGGTTAAACATGAATTAGACTCATTATTTTGAAATGTTAACATAGCACACATATGTAATAAATCTTTGAATGAGTTGAGTTGAGTCAAGAATTGACATCACAGCACTCAGGGCATTCGCATGCGAGCTCCGTTAAAAATCTTCAAAATAAATCTTTGAAATACCATACCAAAAAAAAAAACATTAAAAGATCAAGCTTCGGACTTAATGTATAAAGAAGTTAAAGTAGGCAAACAGTATATGCTGTTGTAGAGGTAGGTATAAATGTTAAGTCTTTGCTTACTCTAAGTCAAATAATAATAAGACAGAGTAACCACAACACCCTCACTGTTTGTTCCTTTGCATATATTTTGCAGACAACTCTGAAACTTATTAACTCTTTAAGGCCCAAACAACGGTGTGAGCGTAGTTTGAGAAGTTCCGTTCTGCCCAAACAACGGTGTCATCGTTAATTGTGTATCTCTTTCATTTTGCTTCGCATGTGCGTTCGTACTAGTTTCTAATGATTGGAGGTACGAATAACCTATTCAGGGAAAGTCACTCTGCCGAAATCCTTTTAGTTTCACTTCTTGGACTAAACCACACGTGGATAATTTGAGAGAAAAAAAACATCAAAATTTTTTTAACAGTTTAAAAGTGCAAGCTTGTTCTAACCACAAGAAACAGGTCGCAGAGAATTCTTTTTTGCGGCCGAAGCTCTGAAATTCAGTCAGTGTTTTTTAGTTGTGAAAATGATAATATAAAAATTTAGATTTTTCTGTGATTCAGACAGTGAATGCAATAAGCTGTTCGGAATCTAGCAATTCTGACGAGTTTATTACACAGACAAGTGTCCCATACTACCGTACTATAGTCTTGGCTAAGCTACATTGAAATCATCGCATAATACAGTCTGTAAATAACTGTACAAAGTGAATAGTAAATAGTGTGTGTGTTATGGCTCATTTTTCTGCCATTTTTTCTCTGAAATTTTGCTTAGCTCTCGGCCCAGAAAGTTATCATAACTTTAGAATATGTTAGGAAATTGAACAAACTTTAAAGTTTTGTTCTCAAATTTGGATATTTACTATTCTTGTGGCTGCAAAACCATGGTAAGTGAAGAATTTTTTTTGTGAAATGTTGTCCTTGTGAAATTAACACCTGCTGAATTCTTCTTTTCCCACTAACTCTTATCATCAGATTCAGAATGTACACTCATTTCTCGTTTAAAAAATATATACTGTTATAGGGATTAGAAGTATATTACAGTCTCTATTCTTCCATTTTTTGCAGGGACAACTCCAAGAAAAATTCATTAAGGTACAAATTTTACGAGTCTTAATTGAGCACAGACCTATACTAATCATAACATTTGAAAATGTTGTAAATCAACTTCTCCTTCTTTACATTCACCGTCTGTAACCTCTGGCAGGAAGTTCTGGTTGTTCAACCACCTCAGGACTATAGTCTTCTTCCAGAACCTGCATGCACATCTGTTTTACCAGTATAACGTATTTCTGTGCAGACTGTTGGTTTCTTCCTTCTCAGGCAGATGCACACTAACTTCAGCGGAAGAAGCCTCTTATGACATGCTTTTTAGGAAGGCAGTGGGTTTATTCTTGTTTCCCTGGACCCTATATCGTAATCTCAGTCAACAAATGTTCAAGTACAAAGCGTGGAAATATTCTGGCACAGTTCTGTCTATGCAGACAATACACTGTGCTACAGAAAGGCCTGAGAATCATAGCTCACTGCATCTGTGAGTGTGACTAGCAAGACCTGCTTGTGTTAAGACAAGTTAGTCTTCCACAATCAGAGCATGGGATTTCAGGGCCACATTGTTCCTCTACACTGCACAAAGCCTGGGAGTAATGTAGAAATCATGTCTGACCCATGCAGCAGGATTTTTCTCTCAGCCTGCCTTCTTTACTCCTTAAGATGATGATGATAATAATGTTGCACCATCTTCACAATGAAGGTTGGTTACAGTGTACCACTGCTATCTTTGGGAATATATGCGGTGAGGCCCCCATCTCTTCCATGTTGGGACTCTCGTACCATTGTATGAAAATGATGAGAATGATTTTTTTGCCACCAACCGCAAAGAACAAACCCTAGTACTTGAGGATCGTGAAACTGTTAACTACATTCGCTAACCGCTAAGCCGCAGTACGGCACAAAAGAAAGGTAAGACAAACATGCTTGGAAAAAAAAAAGCATGCTGCAGAAGCTGCCGGATCAGAAGATCTGTCTGTCCACCTGCCAGAGTTTCCCTCCTAGACCAGCTGTCAAAAATAGTTAACAGCTGACAAGACTACTTGCAAAGAAAAACAAAGACAGCAAAAAGAACAGCACCAAAAAATCAGGCCATACTTCTTCTTTTGCATTCATTTTTCTTTTAAAACGATGGATGGCAAATTGTGTTGTGGTTTGCAGCTAGGCTGAGAAATGTGTGCCTTTTGGCCTAAAACATCTGATTACAGCAAACTCCTAATTATCGCCTTTTATGACATGCTTGTTGAGGAGTGAGGGGTATTTGGGAGGGCAGAGGTCAATTATATTTTTTCCTCAAAATGAAACCCTGGAACACATACAACTGGATCAACATTAAAATGCTTATCATCTACATTAAAAATAAAACAATGTGACTTCAAAACCCACCTCTTTATTTCTTTTGATAAAGTCTTTCTTCTGCTGTCTGCTTTTGTTTCCCTGTTTTGCTTGGGATCTTGCCGAACTTGCAGCTGTCTTCATTGAGGACTCTGCTCTGGTACTTCCTGTAATGTATGAACAATTCTTTTCTTCTGTCTTTCATCACTCTAGTGAAGAACTGACAATATACTAACTCATGTCAAGCCCTTTGAGACGTATTCATGATTGGTTTTTGAAGTTTACAAAGCAAGCCCAAAAAAAGAGAAAAGGGCAACACATGGTCTTTAGAATATTGCCCCCAGGTTTGTGAAATGGAGAGGATGATTTTCATCCCTGACCTTAATTAGTATCACCAATGGAAAACACTTCAAAACACACAGTGCATTGCTTGGGACAGAAATAGATGTATTTATACTGTCTTGAATTGATGTGGTCTTGACTACGATGACTACTCCACATGACCTCATATAGTGGCAGGTGAAAATCTTTATACTTACATCCAGTCAATCAATCAATCATCTGTAATATGAAAGGCACTTCAAATATAAATATTGCACCTCCATGACAAAACACACCAAACAACATGTTTACCATTGGTTTCTGTGTCTTCTGAAGTACTTTGCTCTGTCGCCTCTCTCTTTCTCCACATTGCCTCATTCTCTTCAAGTTGAGTTTGAAACACTGGTGGAAGATCTGTTTCTTCATCCATAGTAACACCTAAAAGAAAAGAAAAAAAATCTCAAATTCACAAACTTAAGGGTAACAGGCAAGGGGATGCTAATAGAAAGAAAATTAGACAGTATGGCATCATAGCTAAAGAGATGAAGATCTTTTACAGAAGCAGTTAGCAGAAGGCTGTGGAAGTGGCCAACAACACACAGCATGGGCTATCAGAAGAAGGCACTAATACACAAATCTCTTTTCCCCCTCTAGTGCGAGTCTTAGCATGTGCTAGTATAATTTCAGGAAGTGACACTCTGTCCCAGGGGTGCCAACTTTCAGGTAGAGGCACAAAGGGAACAGTCAGTCAGTCAGACTTTTTCACAATGAAATTTTTTTTGTTTTGTTATAATCTTCTTGACCAGGAACTCTTTCAGTTAAAAGGATGAATTCCCAGAGCTGTACCTGTTGAAAACTTCTTCTTTTGCCTTCGCATTAGAAGGATAGCTAGCACAATGTGGTGTGTTTACAGCCAGACTGCAATATCTTCGCCTTTTGGCTCCACACATACAGTTTCTGCAAATTAGTTGCCTTCTATGATATGCTTGTTAAGGAACAGTGAATCTAGCCCTCCCCCCCCCCCCTCTTCTGCTTCCTCTTTCCAAAATGGGGCACTGGAACCCACAAGTGAACCCATTAGAAACAAACTCTATATTACTGGGGTTGATTACAAATCTCTGTGTAGGTAACTTGGTGAAATACCTTCTGCACTCTTACAATTAAACATATTCACCATCATCACTTGTGTTGTTAGTGACATAAGTATTATGTCTTTCCTTAAAATCTTGGTTTTTAATATTCTAGATCAGTTCATCCATGGGAATTTATCACGAAGCATGTTATGCTCCACTGTTTTGTCAAGCTTGTAAAAAGTAAAGGACTTTTCATGCCATTGGTGCAGTCGGGATATAGTGCCAGATCATATTTTTATAGACCAACTAGCACTCGACGGGTGATGTGGTCAACACCACACCAGTCATCTTACTCCACATGACATTACCTTGAACCTATTTAAGGCTGGGTCAACCTGGAAGCCAAAAATTTTGAAACCAATCAGCCTCAATGTGGATTTAATATCTTCACCTTGGGCTAGCAGGCCACCTCTAGCCACTGTGATGTTGGGGCTCCCTCATTAGCCTGTGTCTCAGTACAACCGATTTTGAAATGCATTTTTTTGTGCTGACAATAGCTTTTGACTAATCCTAGTCAACCTACAAGACAGCAGGTTTGTCTGTTGTTTTTATGGTTCCTCTGCACTGCCACATGAGACTGTACCAGTAGCTACTGTGATTAGCATGGCTCTTTGAGTTGGGGTGGGGGAGGGGGGACTATCGGAACTCACACATTTTTTTCTCTAAAAATAAAATATACAAGAGGAAAATTACTGTACCTAATAAACTGACTCACCTTCATTATGACTGGCTGGTAGTTCTAAAGCCAGAAATTTGTCCGTATTTGTTTTGATATCTTGTGGAATGGTTACTCCTTTGGTCATATCCTCAATCTCCTGTCGCATGCTGAAATGTTCAAGTAAGGCTCAAGTTCTGTACCTGTTATATGTGTATGGAAATTCTGGCCTGCTGGTTGACAATGAAATATCAAGTAAACATATATGACTCAGGTAAATATGAACATAAGGTGGTCATATGTGCCTCTTGCATTGAACTGGCTATGAGTGGTCACTGCTTTTCACATATATATATATTTTTATTCTGTCTGCGATCAATTCCAGGAGAGATAGAAAGCACACTATTATCATTGAAGGAAAAGAATTTCTTGTCACATCTTTTGAGAATATCAGTGATTTTTGATTGCATTTAATGCTAATATATAGCATGGATTATTGTTATTAAGTTTTTGCTTATAGAACAGAAAACAGCTACTGTGACTTGTACTGTCTCATTAACAAGCCAAGAAGGGACATGTTTATGAATACCAGCATTAGAGAGAAAGTTGGAATTTTATAGTGTTTGAATTATACTGACAAATAATGAATTGGTTCAGCCATCTAATGAGAATGCAGCCAGACCTAACTGCAAATGAGATGTTTTTACAGCAGAACATCTTGGTGGAAGGTGAGGGGGAAGACCAATAAAAATATGGATAAATGATGTAGCTGAAACCTGCAAAAAAGATGAACAAATCCTTAGCCAAAGCCACACAAAGATAGTTGGGCATATACAGAAAACTATGACCTGGTATCAAGGAGATGACAAAAGAAGACGAACATAACTGATGCAGCACTGGATAGGGAAGTAAGCATCAATAACCTGCAAGATGCTTACTGAAAAGGCAATTACAGTATCAGACAGGACTCAGTATCCGTGTTTATGTTGGCTGAAGGGGAGTGTTTGCAGTTTTTGTATGTTGTATGTAAATTATATTCATGCTTATATAACATATAAATTCCAGTAAACCAGGATAGGACATACACTGAGGAAAAACCCTGATAACAGTATAACTACAATAATCTTGCACTAGAATCCACAAAGCCAAAGAAATAAATGGAGGAAAAACAACACATAGAAAAGAGATTAGAAAAACAACTGAATAAGATGGGGAGGATATAGACTGAGCAGTACATGACAGCAAAGAATATGACAACTTGGAAAAAAACTGCTTCATGGGGATACAAACTAGAAAAAGCAGAAGAATCTAACTAATGACTTACCGCTTTTCTAGAAGGATCCTTTTCCTTTTGACTTCTTTCTCTATTTGAATTTTTTCAAACAGAACCTTATCCAGCCTTCTCATCTTAATGAAGGCCTCCTTCAGTTTAGGATCCATATCTTGTAAATCCTCCTGGTCACTTTCCAAGCTTGTCTCAAACTGATTTGCTTCCGATGACCAACCATTCTCTACTTCTTTGATGCGCCTCTTGTAATTGCTAAGCTCTTCTTTCATTTCATCGTGGACCTGCAACATAAATGTTAGTAATGCTAGCTCTTTTGGTACCAGACTGTTGTAGTATTCTCTTTTGATGTCAGACTGTTGTAGTATTCTCTTTTGATGTCAGACTGTTGTTAACTATTTTTTTTCCCACAGTGTTGAAATATTAACTCTGCTTATGTGTTTATTTTAACTATTTCTTTTCAGACATTTCTTAGTTATCTCCTTTGTTATATAGCTAGTTATTTTTGTGACTCCTTTAGAAACAGTTTTGTTAAACTGTGAATGAATCAATGAATAAACTTACATTAATGGACTCAGGACATTCCACATCTGCTCAGCCCCTTTCTTCTGTAGCCAACAAGTGTTCACGCTGATGGTGCCAGTAAAAACCTGTAGCCAACAAGTGTTCGCACTGATGGTGCCAGTAACAAACTGTTGCCAACTAGTGTTTGCGCTGATCGTGCCAGTAACAACCTGTAGCCAACAAGTGTTCGCACTGATGGCGCCAGTAACAAACTGTTGCCAACTAGTGTTCGCGCTGATGGTGCCAGTAACAACCTGTATCCAACTAGTGTTTGCGCTGATGGTGCCAGTAACAACCTGTAGCCAACAAGTGTTCATGCTGATGGTGCCAGTAACAACCTGTTGCCAACTAGTGTTCACGCTGATGGTGCCAGTAACAACCTGTTGCCAACAAGTGTTTGTGCTGATGGTGCCAGTAACAACCTGTTGCCAACAAGTGTTCGCGCTGATGGTGCCAGTAACAACCTGTTGCTAACTAGTGTTTGCGCTGATGGTGCTAGTAGCAACCTGTAGCCAACAAGTGTTCATGCTGTTGGTGCCAGTAACCAGCTGATTTAAAATCTGCTTTTTTTTCCCCCTGCATTTTCAGTGTCTTTCACACACTCTGGTCACTCTCCACCAATCCCTGCAGACGTGTATATTATGTTGCATTATCCATTAGATCCCAGAGAATCTTCGTCATGTCTGAGTTGTTGGCCATCTTGAACCACATATGCTCTACTCTTAAGTATGCTACCTTCAGATGAAAGAATTTGGCTATAATGAAGATAGGTGGCTATAATGAAGCTCCATCACTCTGTCCTACTCTTGCTGTACATTCTTTCAACGTGTTGTTTATCTACCCCTTGATGTTTTCACTTGTACTGTGCATTAATCCAGTCATCTCCTCGTGAGATGCAGTTTTTCGTGATTTGAAGCTCTACCCTAGTTCTTGCTGAGGGCCGCAATATAGCCCAACCATAAATATGGTCTAATGGCTGAATGCGGTTTCTGGGACCCCTCCACAGTGATCCTCATCCGCATGGTGGCACTTTGTGTCACCGGGTGTTTATCGCTTGTGTGATGTCCTAGTGGGGTAAAAATCTGCTACTACTAATTCACTTGTACTGCCGTCTTTAATGACATGCTTGTTAAGGGATAGCGAATCTCTCTCCCTCCTCAAAGGGGATCCTGGAACCCACATCGAGAACACTTCTTCAAGTAGTCCAGCCACTTTTGGAAGCATTTAGAAAGGTTTCTTCGGGAATGGAATACTGATTAGTCATCTTATCCCTTTTCAGATTGGGGACACAGCCAACAAGTCCAGATATGTTGGAGCGTACAAAGCAACTGTTTATTTCCTAAGATTTTTTTGTTTTTATTTCCAGCTACATACCTTTCCTAAAATATGCACATATACTTACCCTTTTTTCAATCTCATCTCTAATTTCCTTAAAGATTGCTTTCTCGTCATCAGTATCAATACCAGCATTTTTCTTGCTTCATTAGCTTGTGAACCTTAAAAAGATATTTTAAACAACAACAAAAATTTAAAAAATTATCAATGATGTTGCTATGTGTTCTGATTGGCAGTAACTGCCATCATCTTTGACCAACAGCCTAGAGGCACTGGACATTATCTTGCAATAAATTGCATTAAACTAAAAATAACCAGTTTGAATTCTACTTAGGATGACCATAAGTCCTGTTTTCGCCAGGACAGTATCATTTTTTAGGCAGAACCACACCGTCGCATCGATACTCATCATCAATTGGGACAAAAGGCTTTTTTTTTTTTTATTTCAAACCGAACTGTCTGGACTTATCTAAAAACGATATTGTTCCGGCGATATGGTCACCTGACCTTTACTGCATTGCTAGGGTTGCTGTAGGGGTTGTTAGGACATATGTGGATTAAGAGTAACTGCTATGCAGTGTCAACAGTATCAAGTGCCTTGCAAGATGACGTCATTATTTATGTATCTCTACAGATCTTAGTCTTTGGTGTTCTGAATCAGTTCTACAGTGATATCCCTCCAGCATATGGTTTTACATCCCCACTTACCCCCCCACCCCGCGACCCACATCATTTATAAGGATCTGCCTTGATCTTTTTCACTGCGGATCTTTCCAGCCATTACAATGTTCTGTTATGCCTACATTCTCATAAGAGGGCCAAAAACAAACTGTCATGAGTCAGTTTATGACATACTGCCAATAAAGACGAAACAATGACTAGACTTTGACCCATAACAGCAGACAGGACAATTACAGGTTATCCCTGTGTGGGTGCTGAGGCCTCATTCTGGGGGGAAAAGGGAAAAAGAACAGACCCACTGCTTTCCTAACAGGCATGTCATGCAAGGCAAATAATTAGGAAAGTTTCCTTCAAAGTCAGAGTGCCTGAGCTTCACTCAGATGTGAGAAACTAACAGTCTGCAGACGAATAAGCCCAGGATCTGTTAGATGGATGTGCATGCAAAATTAAAGTTCTAGAACAAGTCGAATGTCCACAAATGGACAAACAAACAGAACTTTCTGCTTGGATTTGCAGACAAACATCGAAGGACACTTGATTTAAAGCTGTTGGCAGAACAGTGGTTTATTTTTGTGAAAAGTGTCCCTCAGTGTAGCCTGCATGAATAGAGGAGAAGTTTTATGTTGTGGTCTGTGTGATGTTTTAACTATTACAACAGATAGATAAGTTTGATATAATTACTGATGACTATACATGTTGCTGGTGTGATGCTTGAACTGTCATATTAATAGCTGAGTTTGCTATAATTACTGATGACTACATACTGTTAGTGTGATGGTTGAATTGTCATAACATATGTGTTTGCTGTATTTAGCTGAGGATTCCAAATATTGCTACTGCTATTGTGAACTATTATACCAAAAGAGTTTGTTACCTTTAGCCAACACCTTCAAATATTGCTAGTGTTATTGTTCGTTACATTTAGCCGATGAGTGTAAATATTGTTAGTGATATTATGCAACTACTCTACCAGATGATTTCTCTATATTTAGCGGATCACTCGAAATATTGCTAGTGCTATAGGAAGCTGTGATAACAAATTAGTTTGCTACATTTTCTCTTGACTTTATATGTTACCAGGGTATCTTGTGAACTACTACAACAAATATGTTTGATAAATTTAGCTGATGGCTCTATGTGGTTGCAGCATTCTTGTGAGCTATGAAAACAGATGGAGTTTAAAAGTTATCAGAGTGTTGTAAATACATGAGATTCCTTACATGCTTTATTATGAGTTGTGAAATAAAGTGACTGATAATTTTTAACACTAGTTAGCATTTGCATTTGAACAAAAGTGTGTGAGACTAACAAGAAAATAAGTGTGCCTCCGCACCACCCGCTATAAGGTGTCTGACAGTTTTGGTTTTGTTTTTAATAGTACATAATACTGCATTTCAACACAATTAGCTATTTCTACTGCAAAATCTTGTATTCCTAATTGAGGTTTCAACAGAACAGATCAACAATAGATCAGATATTTATTTTACGGAAAACAGCAGAGCAAAAATTGGGAATACAGAAGAGATGTACATAATGTTTTTGTGGATATTTAAAGACGTATGATAGTGTACATAGAAACAGTTTATGGAATGCTATGAAGGACTGGAATACCAAAGAAGTTAATTAACATGACCAAAATATGTATGGAAGACACTTGTAATATAGTAATATATAAAGGCAGAAAGTTAGACCTTTTTCAAATAACATCTGGCTTAAAGCAAAGTGATGCTCTGTCCAATCTTCTTTTCAACTTGGCCCTGGAGAAAATTATAAGAAAATTGAAACAAGAGTACACTGTAGGAGAATCTACAAGAATACTTGGATATGCAGATGACATTGATATTGTTGGAGAAAATGAGCTAGAGACTGTTAAAACACTGATTATCTCAAAAGAATCAGCTCAGAAAATGGGATTAGTTATCAATCAAGATTAGACAAACTACACGATATAAGTACTTGGGTGCAAACTTCAACTGCTCCAACATGCTAAAATAATCTAGAATATGATCTGGAAATAAAGTATACCATGCCCTTCAACATCTGCTAAAGTCAAAGTGTCTGTCTCGCAATACCAAGATAAAAATTTATAATATGTTAATAAGACAAGTCGTTTTATATGGCTCTGAAACTTGGAGCACAATTAAAAGAGATGAAGCCTTATTACAGGTTTTTTAAAACAGAGTCTTACGACAAATTTTTTGACCCATCAAAGATGCAGACTGCGGGGAATAGTGAGAAGCAACAATGAAATTCATAATTTGTTTAAATCACCACTGATCACTGGCATCATGAGAGCTAATAGACTGAAATGGTTAGGGGCATATTGAGAGAACATCAGATGACAAGTAAAAACGGTAAACACTGTGGAAGATAAATGGTTGTAGACCATGAGGCAGACCAAGAAGATCATGAAGAGATAATGTTCAGACAGACCTGCAAACACTTGGTGTCCCCAACTGGAAATAGAAGGCCAACAAGAGAGATGAATGGAAGCAGGTGATATCTGCAACAATGAAACCTCAAGGGCTCAGAATGCTGAAGAAGAAGAAGAAGAAGAATTAAGGTTTTAAGATTTGTTTTTAATATAAGGAATTTTGGTTCTCCTTAAAACTACGGCCACTTATTATGGAGTACGCCGGAGTTCAGTCCCCTGGCCGCATTGCAATTACGGAGTGGAAAAGAGGGAACGAAACAAATGATGTAATTACTGTGTGTTGGCGATAGATGCACTGCTGTCATAATAGGGTTAGGGTTTGGGTTAGGGTTAGGGTATTGGTACTCCTTAACACTACGGCCACTCCTAACCCTACCCCTAACCCAAAGCCAAAACCTAACCCTAACCCTATAGGACAGCAGTGCATCTATCTCTAACACACAGTAAGTACGTCATTTATTTCGTTCCCTCCTCTCCACTCCGTAATTGCAATGCGGCCAGGGGACTGAACTCCGGTGTACTCCATAATAAGTGGCCATAGTTTTAAGAAGAGCCAGAATTTTTATTTCATTTCTTGCCTGCCATATTCTTCTGGAGCATTCAACTCAAACCTACAAGCATTTTGTGGTTGTTTGCTCAGCCTTTCTTTGTCATTTTACACTGGTCAACAAATTTTAAAACAATTTTTTTTTTTACCAGCATTTAAATACATCATTCCTGGTTTTTGACATGCCGATTTTAAATATCATGCTGAAATTAACCAAGTAGATTTTTTTTTTAATGACAAATTTATATTTTAGGAATACAAATAATGTATGCTTTTCTTTTTAAATCACTGGAATAACAGTTAGTCTTTCTGTTCATTTGAACCTTTTCCTTCATTTTTCAGGCGCTGTTCCAGGTCTCTTTGCTTTCTTCTTGTAGTCGATCAATAAGGTGTCTCTTGCCACAATCCAGCAGTAATCAGCATGCATTCAAGGGCTCCAACTGCCTTGATACCTTGTCTCCATAGCAGTAATCTCTTGATGAAATCATTCATCGTGCTCACCACTGACAGCTCCACAGTTTGATGTAAAGAAGTCCAGATGACAATGAAGAAAATAAAATTTTCAAAGACACGTTCCAGCCAAGACTCTCATATATGCTTCAGAAGGTGATTTTCAACAATCTCATTGTAATTATCAGTGGGATGTTTCCAAGAAAATGTCCACTGCTGACTTAACTGCTAGTCATGCAGCTTTTTCCTTGCCATGCAACACACAAAGAAGCTTCTCATTGTGAAGAAGTTTTCGAATTTGCATACCAACAAATACTCCCTCTCTTATTTTAGCTTCACAGTCTTGAAAATTTTCTGATGAGATATTTGAAAGCATCATCTGTTTTCTCCATGGTTTTGACAACGTTTTTCATGAGATCCCGCTTAATATGCAAGGGTGGCAACAAAATTTTGCTGGTGTCGACAAGTGCTGGGTTTTCGACGTTCTTACTGCCAGGCTGCAATGACCGCATGATTGGCCGGTGTCTTCTGATGTAATAGTCATGTCGTGCATAGCTTTCCCATTCATAGAGAAAGCAACAGTACTTGGTATATCCACACTGTAGTCCAAGCCAAAGAGCGACCACTATTCTAACATTTTCTGCCAGTAGATTCCATTGTTGCAATCTGGAACCCAAAAGCTCCACTTTATTCTTCAGTAAATTCAAATCTCTTACAAGATCATTCAGTTTGGGTTATTAAGTGTGGTTTAGTGGATGTTGTTTGCTCAAAATCTGGGTCGCGTGAGGTTGGTGGTTCAAGGCCACCAATGTCTTGTTCTTCATCAGTTGAAGCAGTTGAAAATAATTCTGGGCCTTTGGGTACTAGTAGGTCAAAGCCATATAGTACTGGACGTATTGCAGAGGGAATGTTAGGATATTCCAGAGTCTATTTCTTCTTCTTTGATATGCCTTTCCCAGTTGGAGGGACCGTGCAAAATTAACAGCTGTTGAGATGATCAGTGGGCTCCCTTCAAATCATTGCAACTGGAAAAGACATAGTTTGTCTTTTTTCCAGTCAACCACAGTTTAAGATTTGCTGCATATGAACTGCACAACATGTGAGGCACCCAGCTCTTATCTTGATTTTCCGTTGAGCTTTCTATTCAATTTTTTTTTTATATTCAGCATTTCTTATCTTGATCTCCTATTCTGCAGCCAAAATACAAAATGTATGCCTTTGATTATATTTCCTTTTTGTGAGAGAAATTTCACCTCACCAAATACATAACAGAAGTTATGTGTTCACACATGCCCCAGGCATTTCTAACTATGATCGTATTAATAAAGACAGACACTAGCTAATAATGGCAAAAATGTTGTCAGAGATCAGATATTTAAACACAAAGATGATGTAACCAAAAGTAGGACTGCATCATCAACTTCTGGTTACAGTTTTATTGGTCATTAGCTACAATTATGCAACCGGCCACAACAGTTGCGACATATATATAATTTGGCCCAAATTATGTCAGCTAGTAGCATATATCTTAAAAACTAGAGCCACTCAAAATTTTTTTAAGTCATTTTCATTTTCAGCACACCAAAATTAGTTGAGATCAACTACTTTCATTTCTGGTACATTTTGGTTGTTGCCTAGTGTTATCTGCTTTTTTTAATTGTTATTTTATGGGGTTTTTTTTTTTTTTTACACTTCATGCACAGCTTTCTTCAATGCTTTGATTCTGTGATCTGTGACAACACCAATTTATGTTCCTATTTTCTTGTTTTGTTTAACCATTCTATTTTATATCATTTTAACTCACACCTAAAAGAATTGTGTGTGTTTTTTTTATTTATTATGCCTTTCTTTGTTTCTTTATTTCCTGTTTGCTTTTTATTTTATGTTCTTCAATTTCTCTAATATTCTTGTTGAATCATATATCTGCTTCTTCTTTATTTTATTACTCAACAGAGTTCAAAATTTAAATATGTCAATTTTTCTGTAGACCTGTTCATGATTTGTTGGAAAATTGTAGGTAAGGTTATTTACAAGATTATTCTTTTTCTGTGCTCGCATTTATCATGGGTGTGATATCTTCAGCCAAAGACATCCGATTTCAGCAAAATCCTCAGTAGTCACCTTTTGCAATACGCTTGATAGGGGGCAGTATAATCTCACCCTACCCCCGAATGGGCTTCTAGAACCTACACAGGAAGAGGACTACAAGATGTGGGAGCCAATACCACACCAAACCTCCTTAGTGCTCTTTTATGACATGCATAGTACTTTATAGTGTTACTATTCTTTGTTTTCCTTACTGGGCTGCAGTAACACAAGAATGATAATCCTGTACACATCAAATCATTATGGGCATATAGGAGTGCAGCCTGGGGCAGCAGGAAATAAACATTTAACTAAGGGGACAAGACGTCTCATTAACCAACACAGAACAGGCGTCATCGGTTGTTACACTTGTGGAGCTTTTGAGGAGGAGATCGGAGCACCTATGGATCTGTCCAGAGTGCTGTGATGATGATCCTTTCTAATCACTAATCACATAAAACCATTATCCGCACAGGACTGAAGATAACACAGGCTGGTGTGGCTGTTACTGGGGCCCTAATTATAACTTCCTTCGAGTCTGAATGGGGTATCTAGGCTTACTCTGTTGGTCTGCCACCAGCAGTGAGTCTTATCTTGTCAAACCTTCAGGTCCTTTTGGACTGCCACCCAGATTGAGATCTCATCTCAGGATGTGAAACTGTTCAGGCAGCAGCCTAGAGAGGATAAATGGCATGTGCAGACGCAGATACCTCACACATAATTTTAAGAAAGAGTAAATATTAAATCAAGAAATAAATACAGAGGAAAATTAATGCTAATGAGAATAATTTGTTAAATTACAAAAGATATATGTGAAGCAATCCTACCTTTTGGGGGCAAATCTTTTGGTGCATCAAGTTCACGGGCTTCATCATTTTCATTATCGGAAACACAATAAGCTGGTGAATCTCTTCCACACATCACAGATGTCAGGAGGGCAAGACTCTCTCTATCAAAATCTTTCAGCTCAAAGTCACCAAGTGCATCCATAAAATTATCATCAACATCGCTGTCATCAAGGATGTTGTCTAAATTATCATCATCACTGAGATCAAAATTGTCATCAAGGTTGCCGTTTGTTAAAACGACAGTGTGAGCATGCTGAGATTTTGTCTGTAGAAAATATGCGTGGAAAAGGTCAACTCGTTCTGCACCATACAAAAGATTCTTCTTCTTCTTCTTTTGCCCTTTATCCCCCAAAGGAGCATAGGCACTCAAATCTTACAACACAGCTTATTCTAATTTGAATGTTTCTTTACTTAACATATGTTCGCATGTTGGCTCAGGGGCCCCATGTGGAGAAAACAAGAATAGACCCACTGCATCTCCAACAAGCATGTTGTAAGAGTCTACTTCCAAGTCTGAGTGCATCTGCTCAAGCGGCAAGGAGCAACCAACTAAATATAAGCCAGCAGAACCAATTCACACGCAAAACTCAGGCCCTGGCACAAAGCCAAAGTATAAAATGGACAGACAACCAGGACTTTCCACTGACGCTACAGCCAGTAAACAAAGACGAGACGATGACTTACATATGCTTTATTTTCTAGTTCGCACTTACGATTTAATAGATATAAATAAATGTTAACAGTCAACATTTGTTTCATAATTATATTTGTTTTTATTTATATTGTAATCAGCAGACTTGACCAATGATAGATTATAATTTTCATTGTGCATTCTTATTTGACAATTAAAAGTAATTACTATGAGTTTAACTCTGTAACACAACAAATTAAACAGGTATGAACATTTTTTAAAAACAAATTTTCTCTTCTCTTTCTATGCTTCCATCGCTCCTCTATTTTTTAAATTTAATACTGCAAATGTCTTCTCCATTCATCATTAAAAGAGTGGCTGGTTCACTGTGTTGTGGCCTAGTGCTGTGATATCTGTGCCTTCAACCAAAAACCTGCATCTCCCCACTCCAGAAAGGGCTCTAAAACACCATCAGTAACACGAGGCCCTACTGCCTCTTATACGATTCTAGAGCCGCTATACGTTACTAACTATTACTGTCCCAACAACAAGAAACTAGAACTAAAAGACATCCCAGTAGCTGATAGTCTTTCCTCTTGTGTCGAGTGCGGCACATAGGGCAGAGGTCATGACTCTCCATGCATGGCGGTTCGTTGCAATCGGTTGTAGGTCTTGGATGTTTGAGTGGCCCATGAGCGAGCATTCCCTGATGATAGTTCTACGTAGGGTTTCCCTTGGTCTTCCACGAGATCTTTTCCCCTGTGGTGTCCAAATAAAGGCTTGGTAGGGAAGTCTTGATTTATCCATTCTAAGGGCGTGCCGACATAGTTCCAGCGGTGTTTTCGTATAAAATTAGACACATACTCTTGCCTGGATTCTTGCCTTATTTGTGTATTGGTTCGGAAATCTGACCATTTGAAATTTAGTATTCTTCTAAGGCATTTATTTTCAAAACTGTCTAATTTTGTGTCTAGAGTTTTCGTTGATTTCCAGCTCTCGCATCCATAAGTTAGTACTGGAATCACACAAGAATTGAAGATCTTGAGTTTTGTGTGTTTGCTAAGTGTCTTTGATTTCCAGATGTTGGACAGTTTATTGAAGGCACTAGATGCCAGTGCTATTCTAAATGGTATTTCTGGTGCAGTATCTCCTGTAGATGACATCTTGCTCCCTAGATAAGTGAAACTATTGACTTTTTCAAGGCTGATAAGAGCCACCTAATTCTCGGTGGCTTTAATAGTCACTTCCCTAGTTGGGGCTATGCTTCTATGGACACAAGAGGAGAGGAGGTAGAGAAATGGATGGTAGAAAACCTGCTGATACTAATCAATGAACATGACTATGAACCAACCTTCTGCTCTAGACGATGGCGAACACAAAGTACACCAGACCTAGCTATAGCTACAGAAAACATCCAACAAAGGGCAGACAAAGAAGTGATGAAACAGCTGGGAGGAAGTGATCATAAACCAGTCGTCGTCATGATAGGAGAGAAGCCACCAGAAAACAAGAAGAAGATAGCCAGCTGGAACTACAAGAAAGCAGACTGGGACCTCTACAAAAACTTAGCTGAAGATAAGCTATCGAAGCCCTTTCCCACTAATGATGTTAGAAAAAAACTTCAATTACCAGTATCATACTTGAAGCAGCACAGATATCAATCCCATAAGGCCAAAGGCAAAACTACGAGCCCATCTGGACCCAAGAACTGCAACAGCTGCACCAAAGAAGCAAGAGTACAAATGGAACAAGATCCCTCTGACCTCAGCTTAACAGAACACAAAAAACTTCAGGCTATTTACAGAAAAGAAAAACTCACATGCATCCGGACAAGATGGCAGGAAAAGACAGCTCTCAACATGGAGAACAATTTTTAAAAGCTATGGCATCTAGTAAAAAGTCTAAATGAGAAGAATATTACCTGCCATGCCAACACTGTCACTGAAGATGGTAGGAAAACCTTCATTGGTAAATAAGCAGCAAACTTGCTGGCTGCAAGCTTTGCAGAGGAAAGCAAAATCTTCATGTCTAGAGCGAGAGAAGAAGAAGTGATGAGAGAACTGAGGAATGCACATTAAGAAACCTTAAGAAAAGGAAGACACCTGGACCTGATCAAATAATAAATGAAATGATAGTAAACTTGAAACCAGCTGGTAGGCAACGACTCCTAGACCTTATCAATCAATCTCGGACCCAGGGTCTACTTCCTAAAAAAGGGGCCGCAATATAGCCTGAAGGCTGAACGCGGTTACTGGGACCTCTCCATGGGTGATAATCACCCAAATCGTGGCACTCTGTGTCACCGGGTGTTTATCGTTCTGTGTCCTGGTGGGGTAAAACTTACTTACTTTTTTAGAACAAGGCTATTCAGTTCAGAATTTTGAATCTATTGGCCAGGTCAATCCAAAGTGGATACCAGGAAATGTTCTTTGGGATTAAGGGTGCAGGATAATCAATGTGATGATGAGCACATAGCCCCACTGAGAGCCGACTGGTCTATAATTATATTTTTTGTAGCATCATATACAAAGGGAGTCGCCGTGGTGGAGTGGCTAGACGCCCCCCGCGGATGGGAAGATCATGGGTTTGCTTCCTGGCGGGGGCAGGCTTTTTAAAAAAAAATGACCTTAGCTTCCAGGTCGACCCAGCCTTGAGTGGGTATCGGATACAGTCCCGGGAAGTAAAGGCGGCTGAATGATGCTGACCACAACAACTATTTTGTGCCGATTGGTCTTTAAAAATTTAGGTCTAGCCCTATATGCCTAAAGGTGTGGAAAAGAGTCCTTCAATTTTAACTTATACTATCATATACCAAATAAACCACCAGTTTAAAAAAGGGTTTTTTACTTCACTTGCATATTAATTTTTGATTTGTTTTGAGAAAAACTACTGGGTAGAGGAATCCGTACTATATGGGGGATATCTCCACCTTCAATAGACAGTCTTTTTCTTCATCCTCATTGTCTTCCTCTTTTCCTTGGGGCTTTCAGACAGTGGTACTATAAGAGTTACAAGACAATGAAAATGTTTAGTGCCTCTCAAAGACTGTGGTAAATGCACACAATATTTGACTTTGACATATCCACGGCAGTAACCTCCATTGTAAGGAGCTAAAACCGTTTTTAAAACTTTAAATCACTTAACTGGGTTTCTTGCCAGTTGTCGATTTTACCATTATGACAGTTATTTATTATTTCATTTTTTAAATCTTGTCTCATATGTTGAGTGGAGTGCATTACTGTCACGTAGCTTATAAATGACTCTAGGTGGGGGCATACTGCTGCGCGTATTTTACACTATTTAATTATCACTTGGATGTATAGGACGGGGGAAATGAGGCGCTGAGGATGTAAGCAGCATGTCTACTATTTTCCCCAGTCGCTATGAGATGTGCATTTTAGGACTTTTATTTTTCACATTCTCCAACTCTTGCCAAGGATCGAACCCATCTACCGCACGAGAAACCAGCGCCCTTACCATTCAGCCAGCCGCTTAGAGATTCAAGAAAACGCTTAAAAAATTATTACTGCAAGTAAACAAACAACGCGAAAAGATATTTATATGCTGATTTGTAACACTTACAGAATCATTTAATTTGACGTGACGGCTCATTTTCTTGTTGTGGCTGAAGTAAGAAACAGAGAATCAAGCCATATAAAACAAATTCAACTGTCTTGGTAAACCGACATCCGTCTTAGCAACAAGACGCCGCTGCCATGTTAGATGCGGCTTGAAATTGAACCTTCCGCATATAAGAGCTACCATTCACTAGTCGTCACCATCATCAAATGCCTTACCGGTTGCGTCCTCTTGAGAATCCAGCGGCTATGTGTCAAGAAACATTGTCTGCACTTATAATCTCGTGTATAGAACGTGCCATGTGGGGCTCAGTGATGTCGGTCACATGTGTGATGGAAAGTTAAGGCCGTTGTGATGTGTATAAGGGGACACTCCGTTCCTGAGGATTATGGCTGCTTCCAATATCGAGCAAAGACTAAATACTTCTATTCTACGGTCTGGTCATTTCCCCCCCATTGAATACACTCTGGCCATCCTCACTGTCAGATTGAACGACTTGAAAATTTTCAAAATGAAGCCATGCGCATTATTTTGGGATGAACAAGAGACACATCCTGTGGAGCAATGAGGTATCTACTTGACTTTCCAACAATGAACCAAAGGATCAGGGTGTGGAGGGTTCGGGCATATCTCAAAATATGTGCTGATAAGAAACACCCACTGCATCAAGTGCTTTTTAGTGAAAAGGGCGACAGACTGAGGCGGGGAAAATCGTGGCTAGGTTAGGTAGAAGATGTTATTAGGCAAATATGCAGCCTAACCGACATAATAGCTGGTGCAGAGTGGATACTTGTGCCTCATTCGTTTATTTGTACATTTTCCTGTATTGCCTCACTCAACGGGCGATGTAGAAAAGAGAATACAGTTGCTGTTAATGCAGAGGTCAATGCTCTCATCAGTGAAAATTCAGACGAAGCAGATGCAGTAATCTACACAGAAGTATCCGTTATACGCCAAATAAAGAAGCGCATGGGCAATCACAGCACGCTCAGCGGGCAGAACAAAGAAGCCAACGGCGCCTTCTCCATGAATACTAGCAGCATGACGATGGAGGAGATGGCAGTGATGGCTGGCTCGAAAGACAAAAATACACCCGCGTATGTATACTCAGTGGTTCAATGAGTATGATCCGGAGGGTTCAGGCAGGTTCGGTGCGAAGACAATGGCTTGAATCATTACAGAAGTCCACTGTGCGTGGAGTCACCTTCATTTTTGTTCCGGGGCACGCAGGCGTCGATGGAAATGAAAGAGCTGACAGATTGGCTGGATCCGCTATCACTACCGACGGTCAGCCTATGGATCATGCTGATATTATCAATGCCCTCAGAGAAATGGGAAGGATAGAGGACTTTGGTGGCAGTTAATCCACATCACTCGCCAGAATTGCAGACTTGGGAATTAAGATCGGCATTAGCAAAAAACAAGACGCACACCAGATACACCAGAAGACTTGTTAATCAACATAGAACTGGTACTATTAGCCATCGGAGGTTGGGGTTCATTCTGAGGAGAGGATCTGATCACCTATGGACATATCCGGAGTGCTATGATAAGAACCCAACTAACTAACTAACTCCGTACCTCACCTCGGGCGCCAGCCGGCTCTGTGCTGGTTTTACGGATGTTCATGCTAGACTCCTGCAACACGTCCTGGTCTGACGCTACAGATAATGCCTCATATAAACATTAACAGAGCTGGTAGGGGTTCTTAGAGTTAGTAGCTACCATAAATGCAGTGTCAAGAAATCCACTGGCTCTCATCAGCCCACCCCAATGCATGGGCGATAAAGCATATCAAAACTTATTTGGAACATAAGAAATGCCCGCTAGTTGAACACACAGCAAAATGACAACTCTTATTTAAAACGTTGTCGATCGAAAGAACAACTGAACTGCCGAGACTCAGCCCTAGACCAAGAGATTTGCTCGCAGCTTAGACGAGCAGCACCTCCTATGGGAGGTATCACGCGCTACAGTCCTGCCTCCACACATCGACTACCAACGTTGACATCACGGTGTTGAAATAAGCGACAATCTACCTCTATAAGTCAGCCAGTTATGCTCAAATGTCTGTCAGACGCATTTCTTAGTTAGGACAAAACAGAAACGTTTCAGATGTCTGTCTGACGAATGTCTTAGGGCAAAATAGCAACCACTCAGATGTCTGTCAGACGCATGTCTTAGGGCAAAACAGCAAAGTCTCAAATGTCCTACCGCAGAAAATCCTACAAATTGGCAAAAAGGTTCAAAAGTCGTCTACTCGCCAGAGCGTCAGGACGTAACAGAGGTAGCCATGCCTGAAGATCTAAACTGTCATGATAAGTGTCTAGATGATACAACGTTAAAATGTGCCCAACGTGCTGAAGAAAGATATACTGATGTGTATGGTCATCAAAGTCCCGAACCTGCGGGCTGCTCTCCAAAGGCACAGCCCGTGACGAGTGGGAAGCTCAACATACCGTATGTGAGGTTAATTAAGCAATCATGTGCAATATCTGACGATATTCTTTGAGTAAGCGGTGTCCCGAGGGAGCTATCACTGCTCGAGCCCGGCTGTGGGTGAGCCTAGGACTAGAGCGTCATGTGTCAGCTCTACATTTATGGAAGCCTACTTAGATGGGAGGGGAATGCCTATGATGTGCACCTGCCTTCGCTTGAAGGCCGACTAGTCTACATGCGGCAGTTGCCCCGGCGGGTTATCCTGTAACAACACCTGTAGATAAGGGGGAAACGAGAATACCACACACACACAAAAGGCTACGCCGTGTCCCACGAAACTATCCTGGAATTTTACCCCATCAATAAATTTCCAGGGATGTTGACCGAAAGACACACAAAAATCACAGCTCAGCTCAGGCACAACGTAATTACGTAACTCGGACAAACAAAAAGAAGATGATGACATGTCACATGGCATATCTTTTGATGACAAAATAAATGATTTTGCATTTAGGAATACAAGAAACACATTTTTAAAGTTGTAACTTGAAGCTTTATGTTATATAATTTCTTCAACTTTGTAAAACATATTCTTTATTATTTCTTATAATTAAAATTTGAAAAGAATATAATTCCAGTATCCAACATATTTAAAGGTGGGTTCTTTATTAATATTTTACCCCAGATGGTAAGACTGGATTTCTCGGGCTCTCTGACGCTTTTAACGACCCCAAAATATATAGAACTGTCCCCAACCCCAGACCATCTACGTCCCACAAGAAAATGCAGCCTATATCCCACGACCACCTGAAATATTAGACTTTCATGTGACCTGTGGATTTCCCCTGTTTGGGGTAGGATATTAATAAAGCACCAAAAGTTGCATATATTTCACAATTCTCTGAGATTAACTGGTGTAATTTAAAAACGTAGGGGCCTCATGGCTTTGTGTATATTAGGGCCTCATCAAGTCTAAATGCGACCTTGATCACACATTTTTAGTATGCTTCTTTTCTGACACTCAGCTCTCATCCTTTTTGCAACCATTGTTTTCTTTATTGATATTCCCTTCCTGGTATGCCCAATTCACTCAACCCGGTCCACGACATTTTGTTTTCAGCGAATCTACCGCAATACCTGTATCATTCACGCCACGCGTGCACACATCTTTATATAATAGCACAGGTTGGAATCTGCCATTTGCCCGATGCGCCTAAAGGTGTGAAAAGGGATGTTTAGCCACATCCGGCTTTAACTTATAATTTATAGCTAAAGATGGCCGTGGTTTAGCCTACTTTACTTTACGCGTGTGCATCGGGTGAGTGGGTGACGTGCAACCCTACCAGGACCTTACAAATAGCTTTTAACACTTGGCGACACAAAGTGTCACTATTCGTTAGGTTATATTATGGCCACCGATAACAGCCGTTTTGGGGCTTGAAAATAAAAAAAATAAAATGTGCCCCATATTGGGAAGAAGCTATCATGGCCTCGATATCTTCCACCCATCTGTAATTCACCATAGATGATGTCCTTGGGGATTCTACCATCCTTTATTCTCCATTTGCGACTCAGCCCCCTGAGCATTTGGAGACTGAGCATTGAGAAAACAATGTTGGATTAAGAATCGACATCATAGCACTCGGGGCACTCCCATAAGTGCTTCGTCCCTATCTTCAGCAGCCATCGAAGAGTTACAACTCTGATGACACCAGTGACTGTCTGATTATCTGTCACTCCCCTCCCCTGAGTGTTGAGCGTCTGCAAGATTCCCTGGTAACTCCTCGCAGTGCCATTCGCCTCAGACCGTAATGATCTATCCATGATCTATCGCCCAGCTTCTGAGTTGGGTGCATGGTGTGACACTGTGAGCTACGTGTGTTTTTCGTTGGCAAAGGAGCGGAGCAACTATGGGGTGACTCGTTTGCCATGAAGCTGAAACTAGGATTACCAGATTATCAGATCTATCCATGTCTCCGCACTGTTCACTCGCTCCCAAGGGCCCAATATGTTTTTTGAGAAATTTGAGACATTTCTGAGAACTGAGAACACTGTTGTAACACCTACTTTTCAAATACCTCAGGGTTTGTGATCTTGTCGTGCCCTTTAATGTCAAATATTCTTCTTAGACAACGCATGTGAAAGCTGTGGTTTTTATTTCTTCCTGGTGCGGCCAAGTTTCACTGCCATAAATAAGAGTCCTGAGTTTTTTGTTTGGTTTAATCGTGAACTTTCTGTTCTCCCAAACTCTTTCTGTTAATCTGCTCATTGTTGTAACTGTTTTACTTATCCTGGTGTTGATTTCTTGGTCCAGCAATTTTTTTAAAAATATTCTCTGTTATCTCAGATATATAAAATGGACAATTGTCCCCAGCTCTTAACCATTAATGTAGACTTCAGGTCGATCATTAACACATTGCACCATAATCTGTGTCCTTTTGTGTGTGTGTGTGTGCTGACTATTTGTCCAAATTCACAGCATTCATTAGCAAATACATATTGTAAACAGTGCAGCTCCTTCTCTGAGTGAGTGGTAATTGGCAGCATTGTTTACAAACAGCAGCTCTCTGAAAGTACCTTCATTATCCTGGTTT